TTCCGGAGGGGCGGGCGGGCTGTGACCTTGGCGCCTTGCCCCGACCGTCCGCTGGATGCCAGTGGGGCACGGCTGCAGGGGAGACGTGGGAAGGGGAGACTGCCTCCTCCTTTGGAGGGCGAATTAAAGCATCAGGTCCCCTCGGGGAAAGGATGCAGACTTTTGAGACATACAGGGCCCTCCGTCCACTAGAGAGAAGCACATTCTGTTGAATCCTAGAGCAGAGGGCCCGGTGCAGGAGCCCCTTCGTTTTGATGCAATGGTCCAATGGACAGAGGGCAGAAGAAAGAGGAGGGGGCTGTGTTCGCTCAGACAGGGTGCTGCTATCCACTCCACTCTGCTGCCTCTCCTCCCCGGAACTGAAGGGGAGAGAGGTGGTTGGGTCTGCACAACAGCCTTGCTAAGCCGGTCATGACCTAAGAGGCTTCTGATTTCAGCCATGCCGGCCATTCTAGTAGGGAGATTTCTGTCCCCCTGTGAATTTGTGCTGGCATCTTCAAAAGGCCCAGGAGGGACTAGAAGGAAAAATAGATCAGAAAACATTCTCCCTAAGCCTGGAGGCCAGACCCAGAGTATAATAGGAGGCCCGGCTTGGCTGCAGAACTCATTTCCAAGAGAAAACTCTGCTCTGGACTTTGAAACAATGTTCAAGAAGAAAGGTCCTCTGAACATAGGCAGAATACTTTCTTCGGGCTGCTCCTTACTGAAATCTGGAGATTGGGGGAAACTTTATGCATCAGGAAGGAAGGAAAGAGGTAGGTTACGAGCAGGGGACTGCCTCAAGGATGAGTTTGGCAGTGTAGTCTGCCCTTGAATAGGGAAGCTCGACTTTCAGCCTTGGTGGTGAAACAGCTGTTCCTCAGCTTGGAAGGAAGATCCCAAGGATGTTTTTGGGCCATTGCTTTTTACACAACTGTATCTGATGCTGAGGATCACTCTGAGATAATTGGTAGTCAGAAGATGAAACTAGTAGAGTAAGTCAATAAAAAGGTCAGCTGAGTTGAAGCCAGGCGGCAGGCGGCGTGCAGAGACCAGGCAGGTGCCTGGGAAAGAAAGTTGCATCTCTACTTCCAGTCCCAGCCCTTCAGATCCACCGCCCTCGCACACGGACCAAGGATGCCAAGCCACTCCTGGAGAGATCAGCCTTAGAGAACTGGATCTCCTCCAGCCACCCCAATTGACCCCAAACTCTGGCTCTGTGGCTCAAGGATGGGAAATCTTGGGGTCATTTTAACCCCCCCCGGAAGCTAAGAAGGGTGCAGTCACTGGCTTAGCAGACTCATGGCTAGCCCCCCAAAGTTTTGGGGGACCAGCAAAAGATCAGGGGACAGGCTGCTTCTTTGAGCCAGCCTGGGCCATACCTTTTAGCCAGAAACACTTAGGAGCTAAAGGAAATTTGGGGGGCAGCCATTCTAGCTCCCCCTAGTTTTAGGCCTGTGGCTCAGAGCCTACCAGGCATCGGGACCCTCCTCCCCGCCTCCGGGTGCAGCTGGGGGCTTGTTCCACAGCCAGAGGAGCAAGTCCTCCCTCATCTACTACGGCATGGCTTTGACGGTGATCCCTCTGCAGCAGAAGGGCGAGCTGTGTGGTCCCCCTCTGTCTCAAGTGACCATGGACATCCTCTTCGCTGGTCCCAGCTTGGAAGATTAGAAGATTAAAGGGGGACCTGTCGGGCCAGAAAGCCAAGCCCTGCACACAACAGTCTGCTCCTCTACAGTGGCCCAAAGCCTCTAACCACATAAATGTGGCTGGCGGTGACCAGCTTGTAAGCCCTCTTGCCCAGAAGGAAGGACAAAGGAGAGGTGGGATGTTGGAAGCGGAGAAGTAGGAAGGATGGCAGAAAGAAAATTTCTCCAGTTTGGATGGGGGCGATCAGCCGGGCCCACCTCTGCAGCCATTTGGGGAGAACCCCCACGAAACGCTTTAAAAATGCCAAGCGGGCCGCCAGTTCTAAACGTTTTTTATTCTTTACAGATAAATACACTCAACTTGGTATGTGTGCACGTATGTGGGTGCATGTGCTTTTTGGGTGTTAAGGATGTATCCAAAGACATTCAAAGAGGCCTGTTTCCATCCACCCGCATGCAGTGGCCAGGTCTCCAGAAATGAGAGGAAATGCTACCATAGAAATATAGGCTTTATTAATGTGCGAAATCCGGTTGTACACATTAGGCCCCACGTGAACTTTCCGGATGAACAGCAAGTTCATCCTTTCCCTGCTTTAAAAAGGACCATTCACAATTCTGGTGCTTCGTAGTCCAGTCCAGACCCAGCCTGCCTCCCCATTCACGCAAACATAAGTTCTCTGAACTCAAAGAACTGGATACCCCTCCTCATTTTCTGGGTTTTCTTTAGCCGGTGGGGGGCATTCAGGAGCCCCAGGAAACCTGAGGGATGAAGGCTAGACTGGCAAGTTGAAAAGCGTCCATAAAGAAAGGAATGGTGTGCCACATCCAGCCAGTTGCCAAGATGATTGCCTGCACGTGGCCAGAAAGTTGCACTCAGATGTTATTTTGACTTGGCCAAATGCAATTTCCTATCAACCAAACAGGAAGAGGCCAACGCTTGAAAAGTTTTTGCAAGCCGTCAAGGAGCACCATCTGTGCCGAGCAGAGAGTTGTGGAGAAGAAAAGGAAAGATATGAAGATGTGATTTTAAGCAAGCTTAGATGGAGATCAGCCCCTCTGAAATGGCGGAGACTTTTTTTTTCTAAATTTCTACCACTGGGTCGTTGGGGAGATCCCAAGCTAATTCACTTATGCCTGAATAAGAATGTGTAAGAAATCCTGCTGTTACTGTAGCTCTTGCTTTTAGCATGAGGTGCATAAAAAGGAAGGAAGGAAGGAAGGAAGGAAAGAAAGAAAGAAAGAAAGAAAGAAAGAAAGAAAGAAAGAAAGAAAGAAAGAAAGGCAAATTTTTTTGCTAGCATCGAGCTGCTTAAAACAGGGTTCCTCAACCTTGGCAACTTTAAGACGGGTGGACTTCAACTCCCAGAATTCCCCAGCCAGCCATGCTGGCTGGGGAATTCTGGGAGTTGAAGTCCACCCGTCTTAAAGTTGCCAAGGTTGAGGATGCACAGTGTCCCCAAACAACTGCATCCACAGATATAAATACTAAGAACAAAGAACAAGGGAAAGCAGAAATTGGCTATCATTTTTTCCTAAACATTTGCAACTCGTGAAGGGGTACCATCCTCAGGCATAGAGCAGTTAAGATTTCAGGGAAGTTCTCCCCCCATCTTTCCAAAAGTAACGGTGGAAATGAAAGAGAGAGAGAGAGAGAGAAAGCTTTTATTCTTGCCTGAGTTTGGGGTGGGGGTAATGAATGGCCAGCTTAAATCATAGCACCAAAAAGTAGGTCTCTAAACTCTCTAAACTCCTTGAGAATACAGAAAGCCTGTGAACGGAACATCATCATCATAGATCATATTGGCTTTCTGCCACAAGGCAGCTTGTAGATTGTTGAGACTGCAGTTCCCCCAACTTTCCAGATGTCATGGCCAACCTCTGGAAATGGCTATCCCAGCACATCTGGAAGGGCCAAGGGAGAAATGCCTGGGGTAGGTATTTGGTTCAGAAGCTGTACAAACCTCCTGCCTTTATTTGGAAATTAAATGCTTTCTTAATCACCCTGGGCAAATTTCAGAGGAGTATTAGTCCCTCAGGCAAACTTCTGAAAGCCAGAGATTGAGAGCTTCCCCTCCACATCTTTTGACCATGATGGGAATAGGCTGTTCTCTCTCACTGCCTTTCTGCTCCCTTGGCTTCAGGGTCCCATCCCCAATATTTTTACGTTCCTGCTCACAGTCTGGAAGGATAAAGGCCTCTTTCATTCCTGAGAAGATCGCCACAACTGGTGGGGAAATCTGGCTTTAAATGTTCCATTCGTTCATCCATTCATGGAGAAGAGGCCACCCAGGTGAGGGACGTCTGCTGTCCTGGTTTCCACAGCTTAAAAGGGGTGGGAAAGGGACCTCCTCAAATGATAAATGACAAAGTGAGAAACTCAGTCTCCCCCACTTTGCCTCATAGCTAGAGACCAGGCTAGTAATCATGAAGTGGAAACCCTCTCTTGTTCTCCATATCACTGCTAGAAGAAGAGATGGCAGGAAGCAGTGAGACACTCGCAGGGCCCAGAAATATCTCAGCAAAATTGGGAAATTTCTCTTTCACTTCCGGCTTCTGCACTGGAGCCATCTGCTGCTAACAGCCAGGACAAAATAAAAGGCGTTTGCAGGCATGTTTGGGGAAGGGCAGCTTCATCCAGCTGTTTCTCCTCCCCTGGGCCACAAATGGGCTCCTTTAAAGTGGTTCTGGAAGCTGGCATCTGAAGACTGGTTCAGTGCTGCCGTGATGCAGATGGCTCCTTTCTTAAATGCCCCATCTCCAGGGCACCCCAAATGACTACGAAAGGACTTCAGAGACCCTGGGGCTAAACAAAAACGGATCAGAGCAAAGAGGCTTGTGGTAGCCAAGGCAACACATGAAGAAAAAGAAGAGTGTTATTGCTACAGCAGAGAGTGGAGAGTTTCTTTGGGCAATGGAGGAGGGCAGAGAGAAAGATAGAGGAGGGGGCAGTTCCTCAGGAGGAGTTCCCTGTCTTCTCACATGGGCCAGAAATAGAGAGGAAAAAGAAAGAAATCTCACTGCAGGGTGAAAAAAAAGCATCATTGGTCACCCAAGTTTTGCAAACAAGAGCAATGATGGGACAAGCAAAATAATGCCAGGCGTGGTTCATAATACCGGCTTGGACTAAAGTTCCATCGCCCCCAGCATCTGATGACTTCAGGGAACTCACAAGTAACGTTGTTGATCCCCGTCACGTATTTGGCAGCACACTGCTCCCAAGTGTGGAAGTTCTGTCCACGCCCAGCGATTTAGCTTTTAAACCCAAATTGGTCCAGCCAAAGGATGTTGGTGGTCAGGCAGCCACCCTGCTCACCCAGGAATTCCTACGATCCACTTCACCATTTCATTTGTTCTCAGGTAGAGTGCTATATCCGTGGAGTCCTCGGGGTTCTCTGAGCTTGGTTCTTCTCTTGCAAACGTTTC